CAGTTCTTTTTTAATGGTCTATTCTCCCAATCTGATCCTTAGTTAATTTATTTTTATTAGCTGGCATCAATTGTGCAGGGATTTCATTATTGTGTATCCACACATTTACTCTGCTTTCCAATCTCTTCCCCATCTGTCTTCTTGTCTTTGTAAACAGGTTTCATAGGTGTGTATGGATTTGTGGGTGTGTGAGTATGTAAGTGTGTGTCCTGGGGCTTGAGCTCAGGGCCTGGGCTCTGACCCTGAGCTGCTTAGTTCAAGGCTGGCTCTCTATTACTTGAACCCCAGCTCGACTTCCAGCTTTTTTGGTGGTTAACTGGAAATAAGAGTCTTACAGACTTTCTTGCCAGGTCTGGCTTCCAGCTAAGATTAAATCTCAACCTCTTGAATAACTAGGATTACAGCTGTTAGCTACCTACTTCCTTGTTCCATTTGAATAATTACAGTGATTGATTTGAACGCTAACCTTTGTCACTCTTCACTCTCCCTGCAGCCCAATCTCCCATCTAGCAAAAGAGTTGATTTACTTTGTTACTCAGGCCTCAAACTCCTGTACTCAAGCAATCTTGCTTCTGCCTTTCGAGTAGCAGGGATTACAGGCAATATAACTACTTTGTTACTATATTGTATACTTCATATTAAGCTTTTATTGATTGCCTGATTAATTGCCTCTGCATATATGTATACATACACAAATACATGCACATACATATACATGTATATATACATACACATATATACCATATATCATATTGAATAAATTTTTTTTGGGGGGTGTTGGTTGTGGGGCCTGAACTCTGGGTCTGGGCACCGTCCCTCAGCTCTTCAGCTCAAGGCTAGCGCTCTACCACTTGAGCCACAGCACCACTTCCGGCTTTTTTCTTTTTTCTTATGTGGTGCAGAGGAATGGAACCCAGGGCCTCAAGCATACGAGGCAAGCACTCTACCACTGAGCCAACTTCCCAGCCCTGCACAAATTTTTTCTTAAACTTTATGAGAAAAATTGTAGACATACAGCCCTTACCTAATATTTTAGTATACATTTACTAAAAAACAATGATAGTTTCTTTTATAACTATAATTAATTGCAAATAATTGCAAAATCAGGAAGTTAACATTGATATAATAGCTAGTATCTAAAATATAGACTTTGATTAAATTTCTCCACTTGTATTAATATTCACATTGAGAAAAGAGAAAAACACTTCAGTATCCAATTCAGGATCAAATTACATTAAGTGGTCTTTGTTCTCCTTAAATTTGGCATAGTCCTTAATTCAGGAATTTAGAGCACAGACTAGTTATTTAGTAGACTCTCCTAACAAATTGGGTTTGTCAGCGTTCCCATGGGATCAAGTCTGCGTTATGAGATTTTGGTGGGGAGAGAGCAGACATGGCACATCCTTTCTGAAAACATATGGCTTCTCTTTGTTCTGGTACTGGGGACATATATTTGCTTGGTTACGGTGATGTTGGCTATATTTCTTCCCTGTCAGTTATTATGTTTGCTTTTGTAACAAATAAATAACTTTGTTGGAGATACCTTCTTTTTGCCTGTTTCCATTTTTGATATGTAAAAATTTTTTGATAATTCTTTTTAGAATCATTTATTACAATGATTTTTGCCAAATGGTAATTTAGTAATACCATCATTCCTTTTACAGATAGTAGTTGACATTCTATTCTAAGGAAGAGTTTTTACTTTCTCCCTCATCTATTTATTTGTTGATTTGGATTCATTGTTTCCTCTCCAGTGTTTTGTAAATTATATTAGCCATCACTTGATTTCATGCTTACATTGTCCCTGATTTGGCCAGGGACAAGGGCCAGGAACCTTTCCGTGTGGCTCCTCTGTCTCTTTAGCATGTTTCTGTTATTTCTTTGAGTACTTCCTTGATTGTTGGCAGAGTAAGCTTTGTACTTTTCCAGGTTTCAATTAGACTTTGTTAATCTTGTAATAGAGGACCAAATTTTAAAACAAAGGTCTAGAAGTTAGATATGTTCATTATTTTTGGGACATGAACATGCATACAAACATGCCCTGGGTACGGTGGATTACACCTATGATCCAAACTTCTTAGGAGTCACAGAGAATGGGAGGATTTTGGTTAGAGGATAACCTATGCAAAAAATGAGCAAGACCCCATCTCAGCCAAGAAAAAGCTAGTCATGGTGGTTCTTGCCATTCACCCCAAATATGTGGGAAGAATAGATAAGATGATTGCGGTTCAAAGCTCAGGAGAAAAAGCACAAGATTCTATCTAAAACATAACTGAAGCATGCCAGGTGCTGGTGGCTCACGCCTGTAATCTCAGGAGGCTGAGACCTGAAGATTGAGGTTCAAAGCCAGCCTGGGCAGGAAAGTCCATCGGACTCTTACCTCCATTAAACCAGAAAACTGGAAGTGGCACTGTGGCTCAAGTGGTAGAATGCACTCCTTGAGCAGAAGAGCTGAGGGACGAAGCCCAGGCCCAGAGTTAAAGCCCCAATGACCGACTCTCCACCCACACCCCCAAAATAACTAAAATAAAAATGTATGGGGGCATGGCTCAAGTGATCATTTTCTGTATAGCAAATACAAAGGCCCCGAATTCAAACCCATGTTCTGCAAAAAAAAAAAAAAAATGATGAATTTTGCTTATATTTCAATTCCAGTAGCATACAAGGTTTGCAATCTGTAGTTTGTAACATCTTTTTCCTTCAGTGAGAAACAGTCTGTTTAATATCTAGATTCTCGGATCTTAGGCTATACAGAAAATTGTTTCAGACTGCTCATCTGTAATGAGCAGGTGTGTGTGCGTGTGTGCGTGCGTGCGTGCGTGCGTGCGTGTGTGTGTCTGTGTGTGTGTGTGTCTGGGCACTATCCCTGAGCTTTTTTGCTCAAGACTAGAGCTCTGTCACTTGAGCCACAGCTCTACTTCCAGCTTTTTTTGATGGTTAATTTTTGGAGAATTTTCTTGACTGAGCTGTTTTTCAACCATGATCTTCAACTTCCTGAGTAGCTAGGATTACAGTCATAAGCTACCAGCACCAAGTTTTAAGCTTTTTCTTTTTTTTTTCCATGTATATTTTTATTGTAAAAATACTGTAAGAGGGGTTACAGTTACATGAGTAGGGTAATGAGTACATTTTCTATCAAGCATTGTTAGCTCTTCCTTTGTTTTTACTCTTTTTTTAAAAACAATAATTTGATCGCCAGTTCTAGTATTCATAATGTTCATTTTCCTTTCAAAAGCTTATATTTTTAATCATCTTTATACAATATAGATAAATGTTACAAATGGTTTTTCTTCAGTGTGTTGTGATCTTTGAGGCAGACTAGCCTTTGCTCTTCCTAGGAGTTGTGTAGTTTAAACGTTTTTTTAAATTAAAATATTTTATTGTTATTATAAAGGTGATGTACAAAGGGGTTATATAAATCAGGTAAAGAGTACATTTTTTCATCAGGCGAGAGTGGCTCATGCTTGTAATCCTAGCTGCTCAGGAGGCTGAGATCTGAGGATTGTGGTTTGAAGCCAGTCTGGGCAGAAAAGTCCCCAAGAGACTCTAGGAAACTCTATCTCCAATTAACTATTCATAAAGTGGACGTAGAGCTGTGACTCACATTGGTAGAGTGCTAGCCTTGAGCCAAAGAGCTCAGGAACAGCACCCAAGCACTGAGTTCAAGTCCCACAACCTACCAAAAAAAAAGTACATTTCTTTTTGGACAATGTCACCCTTTCTTTCGCATTGTCCCCATTTTTTCTCTTCCATCCTCGGTTCTGTAGTTTTTTGTTTACTTATTTTTTTTTTTTTTTGTCCATTGTGGGGCTTGAACTCAGGGCCTCGATGCTGTTCCTGAATTCTTTTCTCATTGTTAATGCTCTACCACTTTGAGCCACAGCTCGACTTCTGGTTTTGAGAGGTTAGTTGGAGATAAGAGTCTCCTGGAGACTTTTCTGCCTGGGCTGGCTTCAAACTGTGATCCTTAGATCTCAGCCCCCCTGAGTAGATAGGATTATAGGTGTGAGCCATTAGGGCCTGGATCTGTAGTTTTAAATTTATGCATTACCTTGGTCTTCAAAAACTCAGCTGGGTGCTGGTGGCTCAAGCCTGTAATCCTACCTACTCAGGAGGCTGAAATCTGAGGATTGTGGTTCAAAGCCAGCCTGGGCAGGGAAGTCCGTGAGACTCTTATCTCTAATAAACCACTAGAAAACTGGAATTGGTGCTGTGGCTCAAGTAATATAGTGCTTGCCTTGAGCTGAAGAGCTTAGGGGACAATGCCTAGGCCCAGAGTTTAAGCCTCACAACCAACCAAAAAAAAAATCAACTTTTTTTAATGTAAACTTGACTACTAGATAATTAGTTAAGCTAAGAAAGGTACATTTCATAGGAATTTTATTTAGATTTTAGTTCATAATTAAGTCACTTTGAAGCAGTGAAGATCATTTAACTATTTTTTTCTTTTTCTTTTCTTTTCTTTCTAGTCCTGGGGCTTGAACACATGGCACAGCCATTGCCTTGAGCTTCTTTTTGGTCAAGGCTAGCACTCTACTACTTGAGCCCCAGCACTGCTTCGGGCATTTTCTGTATATGTAGTACTGAGGAATCGAACTTTTCATGCACAAGCACTCTACCACTAAGCCACCTTCCCAGCCCGATTATTAACTATTAATGGTGCTGCTCTCTTGAAAGTGTGAGTTGGCACTTTGTGTGGAAGTATGGAACTGTCCTGAGATAGCCCATGTGGTTTTGCTGAGATGATTCATGGTCTAAAGTCAGTCCTAGATGACAAGGGTGATTTACATATGTGATTTTAGTATCTTAGCAAGATTTCCTATAAGCCATAAGGAGATTCTGTTAATGAATGTCTACCCAGTGTGGTTTGCTGCTTACTAAAAATCAGAAAGTCTCCGTGTGGCTATTAAACTCAGTTTGAAAATCAAGAACTTTGCTCATTCTTGAAATGCTTATTCTTGCTTTGTCTTAAATTTATTTTTATTTTCTGTTGTTTCTAGACCAAGAGCAATGATGACCTTTTAGCTGGAATGGCTGGAGGAGTAACAGTGACTAATGGTGTTAAAGGAAAGAAAAGCACCTGCTCATCTGCTTTACCTTCAGCATCTGCCCCTGTCATGACCACTGTGGAGAACAAATCCAAGATCAGCACTGGTAGGGGGCATGCCCTCTTGAGATGTCAGCCGCCCTTTGTTTTTACAGGCACAGTGCATTCGTATTTGAAGTGTTCCATCTAATTACAATATTTTAAAGCTAAGAAAAATATTCAAATGCATATAAAATTGACACATTTTCATTGCCATGATCAATTCATAGTAGGTTCTAGCTCCTGATTGATTGTTGTTTTTGTTTGTTTGTTTTGGGTTTTTGAATCAGGGTCTTACTGTGTAGCTCAGGCTTGGCCTTGAATTCATAATCCTTTTGTCTAATTCTCCTGAGTGCTAGGATTAAAGGTATGTGCCACCACACCTCGGCTGTTTATATATTTTTTGCTATACTGAGGGGTCAAATCTAGGATTTAGTAAGATGTAGGCAAGTGCTCTACCACTGAATAATATTCCTTAAACGACTTGCTATTTTGAAACAAATTCCAGAGATATACTATTTTATTATGTTTGAAAGATAAGGATTCTTCTACAGCATAATCACAATACCACTTGAGTTCTTGAAAATAACCTTTAATCAGAACCAGGCTCTGTCCAGGATCTTGCTTAATGCTTTCCACAAAGCTGGGACCGTGGGTGCTCACCACCTTTTGGCTTGTTGGATACTATTTTTTACCTTGAGTGACCTCAACCTGTGATTCTCTTAGTCTCTGCCTCCTAAGTAATTGAATCACAGGTGTATACTTCCACTCTTGACCTTCTTCCCCCTACCCCGCAACAAGCTTGGTTCATATGTGGTGGTTTGACCAAGCATCAGGAGGCACATTTCTTATGGTTGTTTCTCTTTCTGTTTTAGCCTTTGATTAATGGCTAGGATCATTCATTCCAATTCTCCAACCCTTTGTTTGTTCAGTAGCAGATGTTTTATTTTAGACTTAGTGTGGGTGATCAGTTAACCCATTCTCCTTAGTCTAAAGAGGAATGCTACCATATTATACTTCTTAGATTTATAAAGACTTCCAGTAAACATAAAATCACATGATGAAACCCATTAATTTGTAAAGTTGTGCTGATAATTGTAATAAAAAAGAAAAAAGGGTCATGTCAATTGTGATAAAGCCCTGAAAGGCTAAGCAGATCCTGCTTAGTCATCCTGAAGGCTGTCAGCCTCTGTCATGTGTGTTAGACTTAGCCAGAACTTACCACCTGCCTGTCCCTATGTCTGCTTTTTTTCCCCCAGATCATGATACATTGTTTTGGGGTTTTGGGGCAGTTTTGGGGCTTGAACTCAGGGCCTGAGCACTGTCCCTAAGCTTTCAAGGTTAGCTCTCTACCACTTTGAGCCACAGCATCACTTCCCATTTTCTGGTAGTTAATTGGAGATATGAGTTTCATGGATTTCCCTGCCTGGGCTGGCTTTGAACCATGATATTCATAAAAATACCACCGGACTCAGCGCCCAGGCCTTGAGTTCAAGCCCCACACTGACCATAAAAAAGGAAAAAGGAGAGCTGATACAGCAGGAAAGGAGAAGCGCCCCACCCATGCTCTTGTAGGATGAGTAAGGCAGGATAAGCTGAGGTAGAAACCACTATTTTACACACTGGAGTCAAACAGCCTTAGGAAGGTCATCAGGAGTAAGCAAAAGTATAGCACGAAAACTGAAGAATAAGGCTGCTGACAGGCTGAACTGTGTCCCCTTGAAATACCTATGTTGAAGCCCCAGTGCCCATAATCTCAGAATGACATATACTTTCAGACAGAGTACTGTAAAGAGGTGATTAAATTAGGATGGGGTTAAGGTAGCCCTAATCTAGTCTGAAGGAGATGAGAAGGCAGGATTGTCATGTGAAGACATACTGAGAAGGCAGCCATCTGCAAGCCAGGGAAAGAAGCTACAGGAAAATCAGATCTGCCCATACTTAATCTTAGACTTAGTAGAATTCAAAATTAATTTTCAGGGCTGGGAAGGTGGCTCAGTGGAAGAGCACTTGCCTTGCATGCATGAGGCCCTGGGTTCGATTCCCCAGTACCACATAAGCAAAAAGAAAAAAGCCAGAAGTGGCGCTGTGGCTCAAGTGGTAGAGCGCTAGCCTTGAGCTAAAAGAGCTGAGGGACAGCACCCAGGCCCAGAGTTCAGGCCCCATGACCGGACCCCCCCCCCAAAAAAAAAAAATTAATTTTCTTGTCTGGGCTGGCTTCAAACTGCATCCTCAGATCTCAGCCTCCTGAGTAGCTAGGATTTCAGGCGTGAGCCACCAGTGCCTGGCTCTTCTCTCTTCTTGTTTCTTTACTTCTCTTTTTCACTTCAGGCATGTTTATCCTTACTTTCACTCTGGATCCTTTTTGTTTGTCAATCATTCATAGATTTTTTTTTCTTTTTGAAAAGGTTTTGATTTAGATATGAGGAATTAATTTTAGATGATAAGTATAAAAGTTATACTAGTCCAGTTTGGATCACCATCTGCATTAGTTTGTTCTAGTCGTGTTTCTCTGCCTTTGAAATCTGCCACAGACTTCCTGCCCTGTTTTCATTACTGTTACTTGAGTGTCAGTCCTCTGACATTCTGGTTTCTATTCCTGTGTATTCTGTAATTTCTTTGCACTCATTTGGTCATCATTTTTGTGTTTTGTGTAGGTAACCTAGATTTTTGGTTCATTCTTTCATTGCTAACCTGTGATCTTCCTTCACCCTCTGTTTCTGCACTTAGTTTGCCACATGGCTGATCTTCGAATCATCTTCACTTGGTTTGCTCTATAACCTTTTGCCCTGGCCAAGTCTTTTAGGCACTATTTCCAGTTTTGAGTTTGTGTGTGTGTGTATTTTATTTTTAATGCTGCTACTAGGGTTTAAACTCAGAACCTGGACACTATCCCTTAGCTTTCTCTTTCCTTTTTTAAAAATTAACTTCTAATTGTTATTATAAAGGCGGTGTACAAAGGGGTTAGAGTTATATAAGTCAAATAATGAGTACATTTCTTTTTGGACAGTGTTACTCCTTCTCTCCCTCTCTCCCAGTTTTTCCCTCTTGTCTCTACCCACAAGTTGTATAGTTCATTTTCAATGCAGTGTCTAGTGAGTACCACTGCTACGTTTGTTTACCCTTTGTCCCTCCATTTCTGTGCCCCCCATCTTGTTTCCATTTTTCTGAAATTCATTTTGATAAATATTGTTTATGATCAAAGGCACATTGGCATTGGGCCTTTGTATTCCTTCCTTAAGAATATCCCTTAGTTTTTTTTTTTTTTTTTTGTGCCAGTCCTGGGCTTGAACTCAGGGATTGGGCACTGTCCCTAACTTTCTTTGGCTCAAGGTTAGTGTTCTACCACTTGAGCTACAGTGCCACTTCCTGCTTTTTCTGGAGATAAGAGTCTCATGGGCTTTCCTACCCAGACTGGCTTTGAACCGCAGTCCTCAGGTCTCAGCCTCCTGAGTATAGGTATGGGCCACCAGTGCCCTGTTCCCTTAGCTTTTTCATTCAAGGCTAACATTCTACCACTTGAGCCACACAACTCTACTTCTGGCTTTTTAGAGATTAATTGGAAATAAGAACCTCCTGGACTTTACTGCCTGGACTGCCTTTGAATCTCAGACTTTATATCTCAGCCTCCTGAGTAGCTAGGATTACAGATATGAACCGCCAGAATCTGGTTTAATAGGTATATCTTTTTAAACAGCTCTGTTGAGTTACATTTCACATTCCATGATATTTACCCTTTTTAAGTCTAAATTAGATTAACAATTTTTTATTTTTTTTTAATTTACTTGTTTGTTTATTTATTTATTTTTGTCAGTTGTGGGGTTTGAACGCTGGGCCTGGGCACTGTCCCTCAGCTCTTCAGCTCAAGGCTAGTGCTCTACCACTTGAGCCACAGTGCCACTTAGGTTTTCTGAGTGGTTTATTGGAGAGATAAGAGTCTCACAGCTTTTCCTGCCAGGAGTGGCTTTGAACTGTAATCCTCAGATCTCAGCCTCCTAAGTAGCTAAGCTTATAGGCGTGAGCCACTGGCGCCGGCTTATAACAATTTCTTAATTGCTTATTAAAAGATGAATGACCTAGTTTTGAGGAAATTGCATGTTAAAGTAATGAGACTATAAGGTGAGATTGATGCAGGTCTATCATTGTGGGACATAGCTAAATCAGACCTGTCCATGAACTCTAAATCCATTTGTTGCTAATATTTTTGCTTTCAATCTTTGTTTTAAATATGTAGGCACAAGCTCGTCAACCAAGCGGAGCACTTCTGCAGGTAATAAGGAATCCAGTTCTACCAGAGAAAGATTACGAGAACGTACCCGACTTAACCAGAGCAAAAAGCTACCTTCTGCAGGCCAGGGAAATAGTGATGTGGCATTGGCAAAGCGTTCCCGAAGTCGCACTGCTACAGAATGTGATGTTCGCATGAGCAAGTCGAAATCAGACAATCAGATCAGTGACAAAGCTGCTTTGGAAGCCAAAGTGAAAGATCTCCTCACCCTGGCAAAAACCAAGGACGTGGAGATTTTACATTTGAGAAATGAACTTCGAGATATGCGTGCTCAGCTGGGCATTAATGAAGATCCTTCTGAGGGTGACGGAAAGTCTGAGGGGAAGGAAACCATCATTGCTCACCAGCCGACTGATGTGGAGTCCACTTTGTTGCAGCTGCAGGAACAGAACACAGCCATCCGTGAGGAACTCAACCAGCTGAAAAATGAGAACCGAATGCTAAAGGACAGATTAAATGCATTGGGCTTTTCCCTAGAGCAGAGACTGGACAATTCAGAAAAACTGTTTGGCTATCAGTCTCTGAGCCCAGAAATCACCCCTGGCAACCAGAGTGATGGAGGGGGAACTCTGACTTCTTCCGTGGAAGGCTCTGCCCCAGGGTCAGTGGAAGATCTCCTGAGCCAGGATGAAAATACCCTCATGGACCATCAGCACAGTAACTCTATGGACAACCTAGACAGTGAGTGTAGTGAGGTGTACCAACCCCTCACCTCCAGCGATGATGCCCTGGACGCCCCGTCATCTTCTGAGTCTGAGGGCATCCCGAGCCTAGAGCGCTCTCGGAAGGGGAGCAGTGGGAATGCCAGTGAAGTGTCTGTGGCTTGCTTGACAGAACGAATTCATCAGATGGAAGAGAACCAGCACAGCACAAGTGAGGAACTTCAAGCAACCCTGCAAGAGCTGGCTGATTTACAGCAGATCACTCAAGAACTGAACAGTGAAAATGAAAGGCTCGGGGAAGAGAAGGTCATTCTTATGGAGTCCTTATGTCAGCAAAGTGATAAGTTGGAACACTTTAGTCGACAGATTGAATATTTCCGTTCCCTTCTAGATGAGCATCACATTTCTTACGTCATAGATGAAGATGTAAAAAGTGGGCGCTATATGGAATTAGAACAGCGTTACATGGACTTAGCTGAGAATGCCCGTTTTGAGCGAGAGCAGCTTCTTGGGGTCCAGCAGCATTTAAGCAACACTTTAAAAATGGCAGAACAAGATAATAAAGAAGCTCAAGAAATGATAGGTGCACTCAAAGAACGCAGTCACCACATGGAGCGAATTATTGAGTCTGAGCAGAAGGGCAAAGCAACCCTGGCAGCCACCTTGGAGGAGTACAAAGCCACTGTAGCTAGCGACCAGATAGAGATGAATCGCTTAAAAGCTCAGCTAGAGAATGAAAAACAAAAAGTGGCTGAACTGTATTCTATTCATAACTCTGGAGACAAATCTGATATTCAAGATCTCTTGGAGAGTGTTAGGCTAGACAAAGAAAAAGCAGAGACTCTGGCTAGTAGTCTGCAGGAAGATTTGGCTCATACCCGAAATGACGCCAATCGATTGCAGGACACCATTGCAAAGGTATTGTCTAAACAGATACAAATTTGGCTGAGCATTATGCAGCTGCCTCATATACCACATGCTTATAAAGAACCAGAAATACTTAATGTGTCACGAACTTTTAGTCAACTGTGTGTGTATTTTTGTCGCTGTGCCGGTACTGGGGCATGATCTTAGGACCTCGGGCTTCCTTAATTGGTTCTCTACCATATGTGCCAGGCCTCCAAACCAACTTTTTGCTAATTATTTGGGAATGGACTCTCATGAGATTCTCTGCTTGCGCTGGCTTTGAATAACCATCTTTTAGATCTCAGCTTTCCAAATAGCTAGATTATAGTCATGAGTCACCAAGGCTCAGCCTCTAAGCTAGTAGTATTTTTTAAAGCTCAGGAATTATTTTCTTTTATTAGAATACTGTGAAAAGTATTCTTATAATAAATATTCTTATAAAAGTATTCTTATAATAAATTGTCACTGCCACTCTTCATTGTTTTCTTACTTGTGGGAGAATGGACTAGATTTATAAAACAGAATACTTTCTGCCTAGTTCTGGGTATGCCTGTGGAGTGTGCCATGGAATTTTGTGTCCTTATCTATAGTCACTGTGGCATAAGATAATGCAGAGCTGGAGTTTCAATCTGCAGGACTGGCAATGCCCACTGCCTGTTGCCCAGCTATAGTGGCAGTTTTTCAAGTAGAGTTTTGCTAAAAGTAGAGGTGTGGCTCAAGTGGGAGAGTGTCAGCCTGAACAAAAGAGCCAAAGAATAGCATCCAGACCCTGAGTTTAAGTCCCAATACTAGTAAACAAACAAAATTTCTTTGTAGTTGCTTGATTTGATATTGAAACTGTCACAAATACATCCTTTTTATAGGAGAACATATTTGTTAATCTCACCAAATGCAGTGATTAGTCCAACCTTTGGAAGAGGGAAAACTTCTGAAATTCCCTCATAATTTGATTAAGTTCAATGATACATCTGTGTAATTTCAGTGATAGAGCAACAGTTTATGTAAAACATATTATGTAAAATCTTATATTAATGTAGAATAACATTTCATACTTTTAGTTCCGTTTTTCTTCTTTTTCTTTAGTGACAGTCTTGAGCTTGCTAGGCTGACACACTACCACTTGAACCATGCCTCTATCCCTACTTTTTGCTGATTATTTTGGAGATGGAGTGAACTTTTCTGTCTGTGCTGGTCTCCTACTTCAGTTCCCTCAAATATCAGCCTCCTGAGTAGCTAGGATTATAGTTGTGAGGCCCTAGCCCTTAAACATTTTTTTTCTTTTTTCTGAGACTTGGACTCAAGCTTGGTATCTGATGCTTCTGCTCATTAGATGGCTGTCTACCACCTGAGCCACACCTCCAACCCCTAAACATTTCTTTTAGTTCATGAGTAGCTGCTCATGCTTAACTTCTTCTTCTTCTTTTATTTTTTAGGATTAAAAAAAGCAACATTTTTATTTTATTAACAAATATCTTGCAAGATATAGAAAAGATAGATAAGGGGCTGGGAAGGTGGCTCAGTGGTAGAGCACTTGCCTTGCATGCCTGAGGCCCTGGGTTCGATTCCTCAGCACCACATAAGTAAAAAGAAAAAAAAGCCGAAGTGGTATGTGGCTCAAGTGGTAGAGCACTAGCCTTGAGGTGAAGAGCTGAGGGACAGTGCTCAGGGCCAGAGTTCAGGCCCCACGACTGGACCCTCCCCAAAAAATAAAATAAAAGATAAGGAAACCTGACAATGAATTTTGAGATATACCAATGACATATTTGGGTCCTTTGTGGATCCTAACCATAGTAACTTGCTATAATATCTTTGATAAAATTGGCAAAGCTCAAACATGGACTGGATACTGAGTGATACTAAGAAATTAATTTATAAACTATTTAATGCCAACCCCTTTTTGTTGTTGCTGTTCTTGTTGATCATGGGTATGAACTCAAGGCCTGTGCACTGTCCTTGAGCTATTTTCTCAAGGCTAGCACTCTACACTTTGAGCCACAGTGCCACTTCTAGTTTTCTGGAAGTTAATTGGAGATAAGAGTTTCACAGACTTTTCTGCCTGGGCTTGGCTTTGAACCATGATCCTCAGATCTCAGCCTCCTGATTAGCTAGTATTTACAGGCGTGAACCACCAGTACTTGACTGACAACTTCTTTGTACGACTACTTAAAGATAATAAAAATATTTTTAAAAAAGAAATTGCTCTTGAATGTTGTTATGGTCATATTGAGGAAAAATGTAGAAATAACTTGAATATATGTAGAAATACCTTGAATGACATGCAAATACCTATGAACTAACTGGAAATAACATCCTAAGGAGAGTGGGCAGTGGGCAGTGGGAGAAATGAATCAAACAACACAGACCATGTACTCAGTGACTTCGAAGCTGAGTTGTTGGTACACAGGAGTTTATTATTCTAGTCTCTACCATGCATCTTATTTATTCTGTAATAAAAAAGGGAAAAACTGTACACAGAAGATATAAGCCATCTATTACAGCATTCAGAGATGGAAACTAGGGTGCTGGACATCCTAAAGGATTACATCATGCTTAACTTCTGTGGGTTTCAAATTTTTCAATTTATCTTAGATTCTCCCAAATCTGTTAATTTTTTATAGGTAGAAGATGAATACCGAGCCTTCCAAGAGGAAGCTAAGAAACAAATAGAAGATTTGAATATGGCATTAGAAAAACTAAGATCAGAATTGGAAGAAAAAGAAACAGAAAGGAGTGACATGAAAGAAACCATCTTTGAACTTGAAGATGAAGTAGAACAGCATCGAGCTGTGAAACTTCATGACAACCTCATTATTTCTGATTTAGAGAGTAAGTAATGAGAGAACTTTTCACTTCTTTTGTCCTACCTTTAGAATACATACACATTTAGTAATAAGATAAAAAAGCCAGCCCAGCTGGCTTGCAGAAATACATACATATATAATGTAATTCATACATAAAATAGACAAATCTTTATATGGATATTCCTTATATTGTTTTTGCAACTTTTTGTTAGTTTGCAATTGTGTCTGAATAACACATTAAACGTTTTTGTGTATTGTTAAATTTTGTCATATGGTCACAAACTTGAAGTTGCTATACATATATAGTTGACAAGGAGTATGGAGATAGCCCTTTTCCATTCACTAGTTACAGCTTCTTAAACTTTTGGTGTACTTGCTGCTCCTTTGGGCTCTGCCACATTATTTTTTTTTAATTGCTATTGTAAAGGCAATCTACATTGGGGTTAGAGTTACATAAATTAGGTAATGAGTACATTTCTTTCTGGGCAGTGTCACCCCTCCCTTCTCTCTCCCAGTTTTTCCTTCTGGTCCCCATCTATAAGTTGTATATTTCATCTTCAACGTAGCATCTAGTGAGTACCACTGTTGCATTTCTGCACCCTACTTTATTGTTTCTTGACAGAGGATTGATTGGCAAATAAATCATGAGCCCCATCCCATATACTATGAATGCATGGAAATTTGAATTGTGGCAGAGTGGGTCATTTCTTTGAAGCCCTCACTGTAAACTGTGGCTGTTCTAAGCTCTCGCTAGCTGACCTACCATCTGCAGGTTCAATCTCTAGAAGCCTTTGTAACTAAAGCAGCCAACTTCAACTGTGTCTCTGAGATGATGTAATCATTAAAATGCACTGTCTCATGTACAGCCTTACAAAACTTGAGTCTAGCACTTATATTTAGTCTTGTTATATTTAGTTTTTGAATTGAGAAGAATTATTTAATTCTACTTCATATAAGAAAGTTTTTTAAATAAGCTTGTAAGATTGTTTTGCTTTGAATGGGGGAAGAGTGACATCTTGTGGTAGTTTGAGCAATAGCTAGAAAAATGTTGGGTGATCAAGATTCCCAGGTTGAAAATACAAATCACATTATGTTTATTTTAGCTGTCTTTTTTTTTTGCCTCTTACTTTTTGGAGGTTGGGATCGAACCCAGGGTGTTAGGTTTGCTAGGAAGTGCTTTGCCACTGAGCTACATTGTACTCTGTTATGCAGATTTTAATTGGGAAGTAACTGCAAACCTTAAGGTTTTTAGCCACAAATCAGTATGATGACAGAAAGCTGTAATCCTAATTATGTGGAAGACTGAGATTGGGAGGATCACAGCTCTACACCAGGCTAGGGAAAAAAGTCTATGAGTCTCCCATCTCAATGGAAGTAACTGGAGATTATGCAGCAACCTTTGATCCCAGCTATAAAACAGGCAGTTCATGGTACAGGCTTGCACTTTGGAAAGGAAGTGAGCCTTTACCTCAAAAGTAAAAGTATAGCCAGGCACTGGTGGCTTATTCCTGTAATCCTTGCTACTCAGGATTAGCAAGTACATCTTTTGGATGTACACCTTCATTGGAATTATAAGTATGTGGTGCCATACCTGGCTTGTTTGTTGAGTTACTTGATCAGAAGATGGAAGTTTTCAGGTAAAGAAATCAGAGACTCCCATGTCTAATTTGCTAACAAAATGCGAAGTTTGAGGCATGACTGAAGTGGGAGAGTGCTTGCTGAGCCAGAATATAAGATCTTGATTGAGTTCACAACCTGGTACCAGCATGAAAAAGAAGTATTGCACAAAAAGCTAGAGAAAATAATACTCAGAAATAGAATTTCTGTCTCACAAGCATGGGGCTCTGAGTTCAAACTTCCTATCTTTTTTTCTTTCAGCCATATAGCTTATCTTTTTAAAGTTTTGATATGAAAAGTTCATATATGAAAGAAATAAATGGTTATTACCTACCACCTATATTAGACAGTTGTTAGCATTTTACATTGCTTCTCTTGAGTGTGTTTAACCAACAATATGTTGTAGACCTTGTGACACTTAAGCCCTACATATTTCAACATGACACTAAAAAATTTCTCCTTGTAACCACAACACTATAATCACATCTAATAAAATTATCCCATAGTGGGTGGGGGGAGGGAGGGTGGGAGATGGGAAGGGATGGGAAGGGGAAACAAAGGAGAGGCAACAATGCCTGATAAGAAACGTACACATTGTCTTGCTCATGTAATTGTAACCCCTCTATATGGTATTTTCACAATAAAAAAATTAGCCCATATTTACGTTTCTTCTTACCTTATAATGTCTTTTTTTTTTTTTTTTCTGGTCGGTTGTGGGTCCTGAACTCTGGGCCTAGGTGCTGTCCCTCAGCTCTTCAGCTCAAGGCTAGTGCTCTACCATTTGAGCCACAGCGCCACTTCCAGCTTTTTTCTTTTTGCTTATGTGGTGCTGAGGAACGGAACCCAGGGCCTCATGCATGCAAGGCAAGCACTCTACCACTGAGCCACCTTGCCAGGCCTCTCCTCTCTTCCTCCCTCCCTCTCTCTCTCCTCCCTCCCTCCCTCCCTCTCTTCTCTCTCCCTCCCTCCCTCCCTCCCTCCCCCCCCTCTCTCTGTTGGATGTACACCTTCACTGGAAATTATAAGTATGTGGTGCCATACCTGGCTTGTTTTTTGAGCTAGAATCTCATTAGTTTTTCCCTGGCTGATCTCAAACTGAACTTCACCTTCCTGGTAGCTGGGACTGTAGATATACATACAGCACCATACTCAGCCTCATAGCTTTATTTTTAAGAAATTTATTTGGTGCTAGGGATCAACTCTTGTGCCTTTTGCTGGCTAAGAAAGTATTCTACCACTAATCTACATTCTATTGTTTTTCTAAAATAAGAAATGGGAGCTAAGCACCAGTGGATTGTGCCTCTAACTCTAACTACTCTGGAGGCTGAGGTCTGAGGATTGTGGCTCAAATCCAGCCTGGGTAGGAAACGCTGTGAGACTCTTATCTCCAATAAACTACTCAAGAAATGCTGGAAGTGGAGCTGGGCTCAAGTGGTAGAGTGCTTGCCTTGAGTAAAAGAAGCTCAGGGAGGGTGCCCAGGCCCAGAGTTCAAGCTCCAGGACTGGCAAAAAAGAAAAAGAAGTGGGTTCTAAATGAATTTTGCACATTGTGTTTACTTGTTGAATCTTTGTGGTTTGGGTGTTACTTTTATTCCCCTTGAGAACTCTTGAATTTAAGATAGGTATTAAGTCATCATGCTATAGGAACTTGATGATAGAAATCAGAATTTTCCTCTTTGGGATTTTTTTAAACAACTGTCACTATAAATCAACTTTAGAATTTACAAAATCATCATCCCAGAAGAAATCTTTTTGTTCATTGGTAGTAATTACTTAGCTGCCCCAGATAAATTCTTGACTTTGGAATTAGTGGATAGGATTTTAGTGCAGCTGTTTACTGAATGTGAAGGAAAATATGCTTTTAATAAATGAACAAATGGCAAGTCTTAACAGAGAAATAAAAACTTCAAAAAGGACCAAATAAAAGTTCTAGAACTGAAAAATTTAACATCTGCTATAAAAGTTTACTGAGTCATTTATGCATCAAATTAAAGATAGAGAGGAGCCAGTGACCTGTCAATATATCAATAGATATTTTCCAGTTTGATGAATAGGAAGACAAAAGGTTGAAGAAGATTAATGACTTAGGTAATGACTCCTGTACTTAGAGACCCAGGAGGCTTCAGATCATGTGGGCATCACACTGTAGTCCTGACCTGTGTAGTCCTGCTCCTTCCCGCCCCCCAGTACAGTAACTGGCCAAAGGCTCTGCTGCTGACATACACAGAGTTGCCACCTTGCAACAAACATGATGGGGGGGGAGGGGGAGGGAGGATGAATCTATTTTGTTGTTGGGACCAGACTGCCTTCTTAATGTGGTTTTCTCTTCAAGACCATATGGCAGCCTGCAATCATTTTAGGTACTAATTCACTTTTTTCTGACACTAAAGTCAAGCTAGAAGTCCTGGCACTTTGTTTCACTCCATTTGGGCTCAGCAAGAGGCTGGAGGGCAAATGAGCTAGCACCCTACAGCTGGATAGTAAGGTTCTGACTTCTGGTATTCCTTTAGCACCATGGCTTTCTGCAGTTTGTGTGTGTGTGTGTGTGTGTGTGTGTGTGTGTGTGTGTGTTGGTATGTGTTGGTGTGTGCTAGTGTGCCAGTCCTGGGCTTGCACTTAAGGCCTGGGCTGTCCCTGAGCTTTTTTGCCCAAGGCTACTGCTCTACCAATTGAGCCACAGCTCTACTTCTAGCTCTTTTGGTGATTAAGTGGAGATAAGAGTCTCACAGCCTTTCCTGCCCAAGCTGGCTTTGAATCACAATCCTTTGGTCTCAGCCTCCTGAGTAGCTATGATTATAGCGTGAGCCACCAGTGCCCTGTTCTCTGCAGTTCTTTTAGTCCCCATGCCCACCAAACTGACATTCTCCTCTCTCCAAAGTTTGATGGGAACATCATTACCCAGAGCTTCATTTTTCTTTTCAATTTTATTCTGTTTGAATTCTCTCCATTCCCAATTCCATATGCTTTTTGTTGTTGTTGGTTGTGGGGCCTGAACTCTGAGTCTGGGCGCTGTCCCTTAGCTTTTCAGCTCAAGGCTCTACTACTTGAGCCGTAGCGCCACTTCCAGCTTTTTTTGCTTATGTGGTGCTGAGGAATCAAACCCAGGGTTTATTGCATGCAAGGCAAACACTCTACCACTGAGCCACCTTCCCAGCCCTATGCATAGGCTTTTTTATATTTCAGAAATTCCTCAAATTACTTACCTGTTGGTGGGACCCTGCCCTATACCTATCTCAGTTTTATGTTAGATTCACTGTAATTTCTTCTATCACTAAGAGTTTAGGAAGGAGAGGAAGGGAGTATATGTATGGCCTTGAATTGGATATTGTACCTGTGTTTTTATATCAGATCTTTCCTATTAAATTCTAGAGCTGGTGATAACCTCTGAAAGCCAGGTTTACTCAGTGT